TTTGTCTCTTTTTATAAGCAATTAAAAGACATATGCATATTTCCCTTTAATCAAATTCATAAACAAATTCGGTGGCTTCTTAATCATTTACTAAGTTTTTTGTGGTTTTTAGTGCTTCGCATCAAGATTTGTGGACTTTTTGTAAGCAATAAAAGAATTTCTTTTTAATCAAATTCATAAATTACTTTAAGTAATCTCTAAATGTTGTTTTATAAACAATTTTTATTACAGTAAATGTTACTGTGATTTGTTTCCTTAAAGATTTATAAACAATATTTAATAAGATAGAAGTATTACAATTAAATACCCTTTGACAAAAACAATATTTTATCAGAACTTGGAGATAAAGATATGTTTCTCTATTTGGCTATAAGTATTTTCTACTATAATTGCTTTTATATTTACACTCTTAAACTATTTCCTCCCAAAAATTGTTATCATATACATTGCATTCCAAATGATTCAGCATTTAAAACACCATGCAATAGGGTGGAGTATATTTAAGATCCCATTACAGATATATGTTTTGTATAAATTGTTGAATAGTGTATTTAAAATATGCACATAAACATAATTTCTCATCACGCCTCGAATGTTTTCTTAGAGATGTCAAGACTAATATATTGTCACTGATAATTTCACATCGGAATAATAACGTTTGAAGACTCCATTAGAGAACCAGGAAGTGAAAATAATAATAATACTGAGAAACGCATTAACAGAGTAGAAACTAGGAGCAGCATCTAACCTACCATTCTGAATTTTTAAACTCTCAACTCTCAGTAAATTATGGAACTTAGACTTTATTCTAGTAAATGTCATCATGTTGAAAGGTACATGCATAACAATAGGAAATGCTTTTGTCTTATTTCATTCAATGAGCAAGTAAATTGATACTCATCACAATGAACAAGATTGTTGTGAATGACAAACATGTCATATCGCATTTTGAATTGTCTTGTAATGATTCAAGTTTGCTTTTATGAAGCAAACGTATGAAGATTGCATAGAATATTGCATATACTTATTTTGCCAGACTATTTAATTTGTTATCCAAAAGAGTTAAAAGGAAACTAAAGGGTGAAATTCATTATTTTTCTTGTCATGTAAGACAAGATAAACATGCAGATATATAATCAGAGAAAAAAGAAATTAAATTTTTCTTGTCATGTGAGACTGTGAGAGTATGAAATAATTCTGTTACTATCTCTACAGACTATAAGGGTTTGAAGTCTGACCTTATATCTTAAGACTGTGGTGTTAGAATTCTGACCTTATGCCTTCAGATTGTGGTGTAAGAATGCTGGCCTTATCTCTTCAAATTGTGTTGTTTTAATTCTGATATTACCTTTAGAGACTATGAGGTTTTGAATTCTAACCTCATCTCTTCAGATTGTGATTATTGAAATCTAACCTCATCTCTTCAGATTGTGGTGTTTGAATTCTGGCCTCATCTCTTCAGATTGTGGTGTTTGGATGCTGATCTCATCTCTTCAGATTGTGGTGTTAGGATGCTGACCTCATCTCTTCAGATTGTGGTGTTTGAATTCTGGCCTTATCTCTTCAGATTGTGGAATTTGAATTCTGGCCTTATCCCTTCAGATTGTGGTGTTTTAATTCTGATTTTACCTTTAGAGACTATGAGGTTTTGATTTCTAGCTTCATATAATCAGATTAAGATTTTGGCCTCAACTCTTCAGATTGTGGTGTTAGAATTCTGACCTTATCTCTTTAGATTAAGGTGTAACAATTCTTAGCCTTATCTATTCAGATTGTAGTGTTTGAATTCTGACTTCATTCCTTCAGATTGTGTTGTTTTAATCTCTTCAGATTGTGATGTTTCTCATCTCTTCAGATTGTGGTGTTAGGATTTTGGCCTAATGAGATTGTCATGAATTCTCTTCAGATTTGTGTTTGAATTCTGAAATCATCTTTATAGTGTGTTTGCATTCTAATATTATATCTATAGTTTGTGGTTTGAATTCTGACCTCATCTCTTCAGATTGTGGTGTTTGAATTCTGTTCTCATCTCTATAGCCTGTTGGAGTTTGAATTCTCACTTTATTTCTTCAGAATGAGTGAGAAGATTTGAATTCTGATCTTTTTTCTTTGAAGGTTTAATATCTGCCTCTGTTTCAATAGTATGAGGCGTTTCAATTCTTGTCTTTTTTAAAGTAATTTACAGTATTAAAATTCATATAGGTAGTAACCTTTTTAAGCGATTTATTTCCAAAATCTACAGACGATATGGAGAGATATACATTTTAATGCTTTTATACGAGGCATTGATACCATTTATTTATTTATTATGCAATATAAACAAGGGTACCGCAAAGCGGAGCATCTGCTTGCAAATTTCATATCTATAATCATCAATCCCGCTGCATATCACTTTTCTTTTGCTTCTTACAGCACTAACTCAAACACTCACAAACGAACACACACTGTTGCCTTACTCTTACCCTTCCAACTCCTTTGAGAGAGAATAATGAAGAAACAATGCAAAAAAACTTTAAAATATGTTACTCTAATTTCTGTAATCAAGAAGAAAATAAATTAACAACGATTGAGTTTTAGAGACGTATATTTTAAAATTTTTAGATTTTTATTCCAAATTGAATGCTTTAGTTTTGACACATGAATACATAAACTATTCATAGCAGATAAATCTATTTCTAATATGTCTTTGGTATTCATCTGTATTTTCTAAAATATGTTTTTCATAAATTAAAAGATTGTCGATGAGTTACAGGCTACAGAAATCTACCTCCGATTTACAGTTGATTTTGGACATCATAGAGTTACATGTATTGCAAACACTGATACAGAAAACTTCTTTCTAATAGCATGCACCTGTTCAAATCAATCATGTTATCAAACACACTTTGTTTTACCAATTTACAAAAGTTGATTTTGAGAGATTTTTTTACACGAGTTACTTGAATTTAAATGATTCCTAAAAGTGACACAAACATACACATGAATTCCAAAATTACACATACAAAGCATTTTGGAGACTGTACAAATGAGATCATATAACCTGCACACTTTTCGGTTTTACAAACAAGTACTGCTTAATGACTATAAGAAGAAAAAAAATTTGCAGCTCTCCACTGCAAGAGTTCTTTTGAAATATTCTCACGAAGGTTCAACCCCTAAAATATCATTGTTTACCCAAGCTTTCAATGTGTTATTCATAAAAGTAACACAAACATATATACACCAATTTAAAAAATTTGACAAAATAAATTATACTTTAAAGAATTCCTAAGATATTAAAAATAATTAGAATACATACACTTTCACAAACTCCCTAATTTGAAATAGACAGAAATGTTCCAACATTGTATTGGTTTAGCAGGTAAGGAACTGATTCAAATTTATCTCGGCGCAGTGCAGATACCCTCTATTTGAGAACTTAAAACAAATTGGTTTTTTTATGACGGGTATCTATAAAAAAATATCTTTTATTTATTTTCAATTTTCATTTCAAGTATTGAAAAAATATCTGTTGAAAGTTTTAAGAGCAGTGTATCATTGCCATTGCCTTTAGCAATCAAGAAAATATGTCCAAAGGAGGCCTTTCAGTGAATAATTTTTATACCTCTCGATTTAAAAGTTCTTGTTTTGCTATGTGAAACCCAAAAAATGTATCCCCTAAAAGCACTGAATGAAATTTTATGAGACTTTCACAGGAACTTTGGTACATAGTGTGCACAATGGCAATTAGTAATAAATATTCTTTGCCATAGCAAAACATGTGCCATTCTTTCTAATTTAATTCAATGGTGAATAAAATTGAATATTTTCAGTTGCGGATAAAATAATTCATTGAGCATCTCCAAACTTTTTGTAACAAACGGACAAAACATTAACTTGTACATAAGTTGGACATCCCGATTTAGTATCATTGCTCACAGTACCTAACTTTTTAAGCTGTTGTCTGTAAAAACATAAACTTGCTATAACAAACATATGGGAGAGGAATAGTATGGGCATTTTTCATTGATTATATTAATTTTTTAAAACTCTTTATCTGCCTTAAACCGATTTTTTCCATCTGTTGCATTGGCTTATTCATCATTCAATTATTTCATATTGTCGGGGTTTTTTTAAAGTAACTTGATATACAAAGTTTTAACGCCCAAACCAGTGTAACCTATATTGATTACTGTTTACAATGTAAGTCTCTAAAAAAGACTTAAAGAGAAAGAGGTATTATTTTTCATATTTCTGTTAAAAACACCTGTCACATTTTACCAGTACTTTCATGTGAATATCGAAGTCCTTGTCGCTAAATATTGGACAAAACTACATGAAACTGTGAAAACAAGATCCTAAATGCTGATTTTCTTGCAATTTTTTAAAATTCTTTATCTTAAAGGGGAAAAAAGAGTTGTCGCGCTTATAGTGTTTAAAATATACTTGCAGGTTTTTGAGGTTTGACATTTTTTAAAGTATACATATATGCTGTTTATTATCATTCATATAATGTTCTAATATTTAAATTCAATGGCGGTTTTATAGCTCCTGTACAACATACACACATGTAAATAAAGACTGAGACTCAGATCTATTTAAATCGTGTTAGACTTGCTTTTGCAAAACAATATTTAATAAAGCTGGGTGTTGACGTGTTAATTACACACGTTTTTCAAGTCTCAACTTAAGTTTTCAACTAATTATCATTGTTCTACTCTACCAGAATTTTTTTAAAAAAATTTGTTTGATTTCCCCTCAGTATTAGTCTTTGCTGGTTTTAAATTGAAAGAATAACTTACTGCTTTTCTTCTTCATGTGAATTAATACTGAAGAAAAATTGGTCTGTTGCATTTAAACTGTGTTCCCTGATAAACGTTATATCGCAGAATGATTTTGCATGCATTGGCATTGTAATATACGTACTTTAGTATAAGAAGTATGGCTCATTTTTTGGTGGCATGTGTTTGTACAACAACTGCTTTATACTAATCTATGTACGCCTAAAATATCTTACTTACTTTGAACTACGAAAGTCAAAAGACTTTCCTTGAAAATAGTTATCCTCTTCAATAATTAAATAATCCAATGTAGAAAAAAATATTTCCAATCACAAGAATCGAAAAGAAAAATTAGAAACCTCCAGCAGGAGAATTTTTAGCACCAGTTTCGCTGGAATGCCGGTTCCGTCGAGGTGGGGTCAATCTCAAGTTACAGACATGCACTAAAAATCACTGGGGTATGTCAGCTTTTGTAGTTTCAAAAAACCGTGATTTTGATGAAATTCAGTCTTATCGGTTTCCTTTTATATATCACCGTAGTGAAGTGTCAAAATTATTCCAGATTTGTATCTTTGATTAAAAATCAGAATCGCTAATTAGTGCGATATTTCATGAACTAAAAGTACATTCCCGTTAAATAAACTAACTTCGGGTAGGTCACAAACTGCAACACGAGAGTGTTAAATAGGTCAGAAGTGAACGATCTTTTCGCAGGACTGACAAAAAGATGTTAAAACATCACCGTCCTGGTCAAAGGATGGGTTCTTTTAACTGTGAATGGAACTTCAATTTATAAATCGAGGAATAATGGTTGCACAGTAAGAATATCTTTAAAATCTTCCTTTAAAAGAATTTAAAGTTCCAACATTATTGATTGTCTAACTGCATACTAACCTGTAACAAAAAAGTGTAAAATCGAATATATAATGTTAAAACCAGCGTATAAAAATATTATTTATTTTGTATAAACATTTATAAATATATAATCAAAACAACAAGATATGTCTGTAAATGCATTTGATTGAATAAAAAAGGTTATATCACGTTTTATATTGAAAGGAAGTATTGAGATATGTTTTATATATGTTTTAAGACAAGCACGGATAAAACAATAAACAATATTACTCAAAAATCTAATAAAGCTAACACACAAATAAAATTTGTCAAATATACAAATAAAATAAATGATCAAACTTATTAAGATTTTTTTCAATAATTTTAAGCGCTGATACATTGTAATATATATTTGAACACAATTTAACACAAGGAGAAAAATTATCATGTATTAAGAATTACATGTTTCCCAGAGAATGCTGCTTCTAAATTATTTGATACTCCATCCTTTTAGTTTTAATGGATTTCAAATAATAAAGAAGGTGAAACATTGCACTTGGTTCCTTATGATATGCATCTCAACAAACAGAACTAGATGAATTAAATGTCTTAATGTATTAAAACGAATTAATTATTAATGGAATTGTTAAATGACAAATCACACGATCTCGATGATAGCATTTGACTTGGCACATTTATGGAAGAGTATGGATTTCAGATCAATATTCAGAATCTAAGGGTCTGTCTTTTTCTGCAATAAAAAGATATTTGGTAACTGTGAAATTTACTAATGAGTGATTTCATCCAAGAGAAAAAGGCGAGTCCTTGATCTCGATCAGATGGTAGGTTTTAATGCAATGATTTTATTTCCTCTCAAAATAAAGTTATATCTGTAAATACGGGTATTTGTTTATTTTCTAAGTCAAATTAAATGATACAGTGTCTTAAACTATTAATGTGATGGCATTTTCTCGTATAATATCAAAATCTTACATAAAGTGGATGTGGTCTAGTTTCAGCCTGGGGTCGTTTAATTTGATACTGTGTATTAGGATCTAGTGCTTGATACATAAAATCCCACGAAAAATTAGATTTGGCTCCATTGTCATACACTGAAAAAATAAAGTTATTCCAATGAATATCATAAAATGCATTCTCTAAAAAGGTGCAAATAATATAAAATAGATCGAAAGATTGATCTTTCAAAAATTACAAAAAGTGGAAACATACATAAAGGCTGAAAAACGACTTACTGTAGACTTCTCTTCCGCCACGGTATGTATTGTCAAATCCATCCCCGCCTCTCCCCCTTCTATCATTCATGTCTGATATACTGGAATCATCTCCCCAGTTCCTCAATGAATAGGGGCCACGTCGACCCCAGCTATCAATCTTTGTGGGGATCCCCGACTTGAAGAAGCCGTCTGTGTGCATTGTCCTAAAAAATTAGTTTCTTGTTAAATTTTTGGGAGATTTTTCTGTCGGAAAGACTTTATTTACAGCAAGTAACGTGATTACAAGTAATGCCTGTAAACTAATGATAAACACGTTTTTTTTATTTTCTTCAACAGTTTTAAAAACGCCACACATATAAGTATTGATATAAAGAATTAGATATTACATGAACAATATTGTGTATCTAAATGAACTTCAACCAGTTACATAACGATAATTTTATTCACGTTATAGGTAGCGGTTACTTGATGCAGGCTTTAAAGAATTGCACAGAACCAACAAAAAAGGCGTTGCTATAGCGGAAAAAACAGAACATATGTAAGTTTGTCAAGGAGATAAATCTTCGTTAAGCATTTAAAAATGTTTAAAATGCATTACAAATAAAAGAATTGTTTGCTTGAAGCGATGAAACTGTCAATAGCATTGCCACGAGGCGTTCAAGTGGAGTGTGGTGCATTAAAAGCATTTTGCGCAAACCTCTCAAGGATCATCCAGATTTTAACAGTTGTAATCTTGGTCCTAACTAGCTATAGCATTGCAGCTTATTGCAGCCATAATTCAAAGATTAAGTCAACTTCCCACACAATAAGCAACCCGAAAGATTAAGGTTATACGAAATATAAGTTGACTGCGAATGTGTGGTTGGCTGGTATAAACACTTTTATTTATTTATTTTGTTCTTCAGTAATATTACATCACTTTTGTAGTAGTGTCTCTATTCGCTTCAGAAAAAATTATACAATGCTCAGGGCCATAAAACTTAAGATAAGCTCACAATTCATTTCAGTCTTACTTGTACAAAATGTATAAAGGGTGGGGAAAGTGAGGCTGAGGCTATACACATTAAAGTAATGTTATCAATATTCTATGTCCCCAAATCTAGAATACACATGATTGCCCCCATATTACTGCTAATTGATTATTAATGTAAGTAAATTACATACATCTGCATTTTTAAGTATCATTTATTTTATTTATTGAATTGCTCTTCTGGTCTAACATTTACTAAATGTGATATTTTATATCAACTTCGTTAAAAGATATAAGTAATCATAGATTAGAATGAGTTACTGTATAACTTGATACATGTTTATATCAAAGAATTTGCTCATACTAAAAATATTTGACTTACAATAAAAATTGTCGTATACATTGCACAACGTATAGACTTATTTCAGTTAACTTACCTATCTAAATCATCTTCCTCAGAACTTAATGAGTCCTTTCTGTACTTCCGTCTGCGGTAGTATATGCAAATAATGGCCAGAACTAGGACAGCTATAAAGAAGAGAGGGATTCCTACGCCAAGTCCAACTATCAGCTTAAAGGAGTCTGTCAAAAAAAAAACAGCATCTCAATATTTTTTGTCAAAAACTACAGCATTGGATATATATCTCGATTACATGAAAGTTTTATTATCACCGTGATTTTAAAAAAAGAATAAAGATTTCCTTCAATATTGATATATTTTTAAATAATGCCCCTTTTTTTTGTTTAAAAGCAGATCAAATCTTTCTTACCGTCACTTTCAATTTCCCTGCAAAAAATAAAAGAAGAGTAAATAATAACAAAAAAAACCTACCAATGCATTCAGGCAAAAAAAAGACAACAAAGTTAATGAATTGTCGAGAATTGGGCAATAAGCTTTACCTGCACTTCACTAATCCATCTATGTCAGAGCAGCGTTGACCAGCCGGACAGGTAATAATAGTATTAAATACTGTGCAACCAGTGGAACTCGACGTTATACTTACAGCTGCCAAGAAAGATAGGTGAATATACAAGCAATACAATCTGATATACATATAATTTTCTGTCAAATTGTAATTATTTTCATTGTCATCCGGTAAATTCAAAATTAACAAAATGATATTATTGCAAAGGTAATGCAAGAGTGTTTGAAAATTAATGTTTGAAATCGTGCTTTAGCATTACGGTAAAGATTCATATAAATTAGCTGAGAATATGGAGTCTTTATAAAAAATAAACATCCTTTTAGTAACTAGCCTAAAATTCAGAGGTAAAATGACCTACTTTTTGTATTCCCGTTGGAATCTGTGACGTTTAAAGCTTGGAGGGGATATTGTGTGTTATTGTATGTAACTGTCTGACTCCCTGTTGCCAGACTATTCAACGTTTGTACAAAATCGCTCTGTGTCTGATCCACAGAAGAGCTTGACGTCACCACACTGTGATCTGCAATTACGCTGCCAAATCTACAGTAAAAACGTAAGAAAAATGAAATTGTATCAAAAAACCCGAGGCATTTTTTTTTCAATCTAAATCACATATTTCTAATTGAAGTACACGAATTAGTAAAAAAAATTAATTGTAATTTTGGTCTGTGTGACCCTGATGCATTTTATGTTAAATATATGGTATTTTATTCGGTCATAAACCAAGCAAAAGAACAAGCTAAGCTGATGTATCGAATTAATACTTTCGTCTACAAGTAAAAGACTTGTAGTTTAAAATACCATTTAAAACCAAGATGATTTACAAGTAGGTTATGCAATTAAACTTGGTTGATTACATAAAAAATAATTTCCATGCAAATTCTTCTTTATCATGCACTTAGTATATGAGGTTTAACGCAAATTAGCTGGAAATTAATCATAGCAATTTTGTTCAATTAATCAAATGTTTTACGTAGACAACTTATCATTTTAAGCTGTGGAATTTTATGTAGAACGACTTTACGTTATTAATTGATTACATCAATATTGAAAACATGCATTTTGAGACAATAATCAAAATTGAAATTGATTTTTCATAAAGAACAGAGGTAGAAGGTTTCAAGTTGGGTGCATTTTCTCTGATCCGTAGATAGAGAGAAAAAAAAACTGCATTAAAGTCTGGATTTCATGTGGAGTTTTTTTTTTCAAATAAAAATTCTACATTTAAAATTTTTGTTATTATTATTAACTTAGAAAAAATTACCTGATTTCAATTATTATGACTTTTATGAATCCAGTGATTCTATTCTGGTAAAATGCTGTCAGCTGTGTAAATAAAAAATAGTGTTAGAAGAGAAAATTGCTTCCCTATATTCATATACATATATTTAAAGAATATTTTAATGTACAATTATTGCAAGAGATTTAATGAAGAACTTACGACTGATTCCATCTCTGTCTTGATGGCTTCTTTATCTGCAGCATTTCTATTTATGTTAAACGTAAATGATGAGGAGAAAACACGTTCGTTGGAAGCTGAAAGATTGGGTCAAGAATATTTAATGAGTCTTTCATCTCTTTTTTTATCTCTAAAATTTGTTATCAAAATATTTTTGGCTAAATTGAAAATTAATCGTCATACCTGGTTGATAAGTAGTAGCTGCTGAAATTTAGAAAAGGTAAAACTTTAAGTTGTAAAGTATGCTAAACTTAGCATTAAATTATATTCGTTTAACTATATTTTTCATTAATTTTATTCAACTTATAAAGTTTCAGACTATTAATTGAAGATTAATACTCTTATAAAGATTAATCGTGTCACTTTAAACAAGCAAGAATGGCTGTATGATATTATCTCAGTACCTGCTTCTGTCTGGGTTGTTACAGGGGCGGTTGACGTTTCAGTTGAAACAACTTCTGTTGTTACTGGCTGTGTTGTAACAGGGGCGGTTGACGTTTCAGTTGTAACACCGGCGGTTGACGTTTCCGCTGTAACAGCATCTGATGTGACTGGCTGTGTTGTTACAGGGGCTGTCGATGCAGCAGTGGTTACTGCTTCTGATGTAGTACTAGGAGATTCACTGGTCGTGGATTGTACTATTAAACAACAGAATTCTTTTTGAAAACGAAGCAGGTCCAATACATGTTCATTTGAACGGTAAAAGAATATATATTGGCCAATGATTCTGCACGCAAGAAAACTTGTTTATACTGTACATGCAATAGTAAAGTTAACATATGAGCATTAATAATTTTCCTTTAAGAATTAAAATGGTTGGATTAATGGTGAAAAAGACTATTAATGTGTTACATACTGAAGATTTCATAGTACTGTTTTAAATGCATATGGTATGGGAGAATGAAGAGTATACCATTTGTGTTGAGCTATTTTTACTTATATATTTTTCCTATAACAAGCTATAGTCTAAATTCTATTAAAGGTAAATTCGAAGACTAAACGTCTGGAAATAAGAAGCATATATTGATAAAAGAATTATGTTAGTGCCAAGTGACTTAAATGTGCCAATGCTCCAAACAGCTACTGGTTTGAAAGAGCTTAAAGGGTTCCAAGGCTAAAATGTGCAGTTCTTGTACCTTCCGTTGTGACCCCGCCCGTGGAGACGGGTAGATTCGTAGACTGAAGGGTGGAGACCTGAGAATCAGTGGTGACAGACTGACTTGGTGTCGTCTGACCAGTAGTTACCGACACGGTAGATGTTAAGGAATCAGTAGTTACTGGCTTCACAGATGTCAGTGTAACTGTAGTCGCTGGTTTGGCAGAAGTCAACTCTTCAGTTGTTGGTTGGTTAGATGTGATTGAATCTGTTGTCGGTTGAGCAGACGACACAGCAGCTGAGGTGGTCTGGACAGAACTTCCGGAACCTGTAGTTGAGGGTTGGACAGATGATGCAGCACCAGTAGTGGTTTGTTGTCCTATTGTTGTCTGCTGGTCTGTTGTAGCAGCTTGTGTCGACGTAACGCCACTAGATGTCATCGTTTCGCCTGATGTTGTATCATCAGTAGATGAGGTAATAGGTCCAATTGAAGATGTTGAAACAAACAAGAATGTCGTTGTTTCCTCCGTTGTTGTAGGGACTTTTTAAATAATATTTTCACTTTTTTAAAGGGGCACGGACACAGTTTCAACATTTTTAAAATCAATTTTAATATTGACAATTCCTACCCAAGGCATCGTCTAATGATTGGCCAAAAATTTGAACATCATTTGTTGATTAACAAACGAGATACAGAACTTAAAGTTCTTCATAAGGTAAACAAGGCTAGTGCCCTGTTTTTGTTAAGATATAGAAAACATCATATTTATAACAAAATGAAATTTAGCAAAGCAATAGAAACTGTCGAATCGTATTTTAAATTAACTTCTTTATTGAAATTATCTTCTCTGAACGAACATTTATTAGTATATTAACATATGTAAACAAGAACATGAAACAAACATTGTTTACATAACAAAGGTTTGGGGCTCTAAATCTGTCTTGTATCTCGACAACTGACGTTTAAATTTTTGATAATCATTAGAAAGACCCTTGTTAAATATTTGTAAAAATGGAAAAATAAATTTTGAAATTTTAGTTGAAACTGTGTCAATGCCCCTTTAATATAATGATGAAGCTTCAATTTTAAGTAAAGCAGCAAGCATGTAAGACTTTTCAAGCAGTTAAATGTTAATGCATTTACAGAATTTCCAAATAGCATAAAGCATGAAGCAACGAACTACTTTGCTTTACAGAGCATATCGCAGACCGTGTCTAGTGAACGTTGAGAAAGCAGCAATTATTATTGATAATTGGCAGTCAGCAGAATTTGTAAGTAATTACGATAATTACGGAATCTTTTATCATATCTACGTAGCTCGTCAAATAAATACATTGTAGGTAATTACATTGAATAATTAATTTCTATTTACTAGTGTCTTAGTTCATCCTTTAGAATGATCCTTGACATTATTATACCCCCCCCCCCCCCCCCCCCCACCCCGCTTGAAAAGTGGTAGGATACATTGTGATAGGGATGTCCGTCCGTCCGTCTGTTACGCTTTGAGGTACTCATCATTTATCCGCAACTCCTCCTATACCACTGAATGAAATTTAAAGACTTTCACAGAATTTTGCTACATTGAGCACCACCTATTTTACTTTTTGATCTGACATATTTTTTGAGTTTTCAAGTATAAAACATGGACATTGTCATTCTTTCTGTAATGTTGAAGGGTACCCATCTCTTATCCGCAACTTCTCTTAAACCACTGAATTAATTGTAATGCGACTTAAACAGATTTTTTGTTACATAGTGCCACTGTGACCTTTTATTTTAATTTTTGAAGGGACACATATTTTGAGTTTCCCAGAGCAAATCCATGGACACTGCCATTCTTTCTCGATATTGAAGGGTACCAATCTTTTATCCGCAATTCCTCTTAATCCACTGAATAAAATTTTCCATAGACTTCCATAGATTCTTTATTACATAATACCATTGTGCGCCTGCTAATTTTACTTTTTGAATTTCGAGTCCCCTAGAGCAAAATATTGACCCTGCCATTATAACATTATAGGGAGGCAGGGATATCATTCAGAGAGCTCATTGCAAGCAGTACCTCTATTTTCTTATAGTTTTGAAGCCCGGTGTCGCATAATATTTGGTCCGCCTCGTTTAAAGGTCCGGCCGGACCAAATACGATAACATATTTGGTCCGCCTTTTATAAGAAAAGGTCCGGCCCGTATAAGAAAAGGTCCCCTGCGTTTTAAGGTCCGGGTGGTGCAAAATGTTTTAATCTTGACTTTAACATATGAAATTAAGGCCACCGGGTAATTTGTTTATACTATATGATGAAAGAAGGATTAACCCTGTTGTGTTTTATTTTTTGTACAACATATATGTATCTCTGGACAAGAATCTACTCGTATAGTGTGCTTTAGGAAGTGCCGTTTAGGGCCATGATTTCTTTAAAAATCATGCCACAATTATTTTGCAAGTGTTTGCTTTTCCTTAGAATTTGCTTTTTGTAAATTAGTACGATTAAGGGTGTGAAATCTGTCGGTGTGTATAGCTAATAAAACAATGGGTGTGTGACATAATTGTTTATCTGACAGGTACCCACCGTACCCACAGGTAGAGCCCGCGGCAGATGGCGCTGTCATTGAATGGTCGGTGAACCTAACGGTCATGTGTTAGCTTTACATATTAAGAGTCATTCTCTGTAAGAATCAAAGAATTTAGAAAAAAGTTGGAAATGGTACATCACAGATTTTGCTGATTTTTTGCATGCAATGTAGAAACACCATGTATAGAACATTTTTGGGGTTAATTTTTTATTTTGAGTCCCGGTTGCCATGGTAACCAAAACCACCATTTTGAGGCCAAAAATACAGAGCAACCTACTGAAAGTATACCATCTTCGTCATAAATTTCTATTTTCTGTATATTATTTACAGATTTAATTGTTGTCTACTCTGATAGACTATTTGTTGGAGTAACTACCACAACTGATGAAATTATTCAGTAGTTAGTCATAAAAGAGTTGTGTTCCAGTGAAAAGTGTGAATTTTTCAAAATTTTACAAATTTGAAAAATGCCAATATTCGGCATTTTCTATGCATAGTAGCAAGAAAACGCGGGCAACCTATAATAAACAACTACCATCACTGAAAAGGTCATTCCTAACTCAACAAAATATAAAATTTCTAGAGAGGTATTATTTCTTAAAATAAAATAAAACGAAAATGAAAATGGTTGCTATGGAGATTTTGGATTAATTTGTCGATTCAACATTTTGCTCCTTTTTGTACATCATAACTTTAAAAAGGTCAAAAGTAAACCAAATCACACTACTAAACATCATAATTTTAAAATATTATGATAAATGTGTAAGTTCATAAATTAAACAAAAATAATCTGTTACTATAGCAACCAAAAAGTCAGGAAAAAACATATAGCTATTGACGTTATCATTATGCAAAATCTGTGGCCTCGGTGCATGATTTAATTTCTTCAAATTTAAATAGACAACACTTATTATATTTGTTATTTCACTTATGTACATTTTAAACCAAAAAAAAAAATTCAAGCGTCTAAAATCACGTTGCTATGGTAACCAAATAGTTTTTGAACACTTCCTTACATTGGTTGCTTTCACAAATTTTGTTATACTGACAAGTATACAAACAAATAATATCATAGCTTCATTCATTATCTTTTTTCTCTTTTTCAGTAAAATGAATTGAATTTAATTAAATTTCAATAAATATCAAAATAGTAATTAATAATTTATTTTTTAAAATGGTTGCTATGGCAGCCAATAGTTCAGAAAAATCCTTTTTCATTGATAGGTTTTATATAGAAAATCTACTGCTTTATTGAACAATTGTGTCTTCTTCAATAAAATAAATTCCATAAACCTTGTCATTTCACTAACATAAAAAAGACTATAAATTCATAATTTAATTAAAAAAAAAACAGTTGCTATGGTAACCAAATAATTCAGGAGTGATCCAAATAAGTATTGATGTACCAGTACACAAAACTCAAAGCACTGCCACCAATGTTTGTTTAAACTTCTAATTAATTTATTTACGGGGACAAAAACAGATGAACTCAAACTTAAACTGACATATATCTAAATTACTGCAGCGGTATTTGTTTCCATGGAAACAATAAATACCGACATAAATTCATGACCGATCTTTTGGAAGCAACTTGCGCTATTAATTGACATAGTCAAGAGTGCCCCCCCTCCTCCTCAATTCAACTTGTTTTTGCTGTTATTGAAATGATCTTTCGCTGTTCCTTTTGTAAGGAATTATTATACGAAGAAGAGGAGGGTATACTGCTTAAACTTTGTGTGTAAGTCTGTTCGTCTGTCTGGCTGCCTGTTTGTCTGAACATAGCAAATTTCTCAGCAATTACACATGTATCACTATTCATTGAAAATGCTTGAAATTTTAGCACCGTATTTGCTAAGACATGCATTGTGGCATAGGTGGGTAACATTTGAGTTTCTTAAATCTGATGTCAATTTCCTCTTTATCCGTGTGTCTGTCCTACCGTACATAATTTTTTTTTGTTGAAGATTTCTCCGCCGAGATAAGCGTGATTCATACACATTAAGAATGACAATCAAAATTAAGTATGTAATTTAAAGATTTTGTGATTTTGTTCTTCCTCATTAAGGCACAGAGGGTAAAATAAGTAGTAGGGAAAGTGCAATTTGATTAAAAGTATATAATTATACAAACCACCGCCTCTCTTATTAATTCCAAAACACTATCCGCCAGGTCTATGCCCCTTGGAGTGAACTCCCTACAAGCTTTTGAAATTCAATATACAGAGAACCTCATCGATATATGGCAGGAAGGGGGGGGGGGGAATGTTACCACCACCCCCTCCAATATGTTACAAAGCGGGGGGTGGGGGGTTGATTTATTTGTTTTAGTATTTTTTTTTTCAAGTTGAATAACTTATTTTTATCTAACACTATTTGGAAAGCTTCTTAGAAATATTTTCCAGAACATAAAGTCTGTGATAAATGGAATACTGAGATGTCCTTATAAAATATGACAAAATCAAATATAATTTTTTTCTCTGCTATAATTTGGACACATAAATCCATTATTTCAACAACAACCATTTTACATATCCCAAATTATGCATGCACGTAAAATGAACTCCTTTCCACTGAAAAATGCCGTATTTCCCTATAACCTTAAATGTATTCCTTCATTATGTATTGTTTCAGTAAAGCGTAAACATTGTATTATAAAAAAACGAGTGCGCTTTTGATTGGCATTCGGCAAGAACCTGAGCGTAATTGAAAAGTGAAAATTTTATTGACATGTCACATGAAATTTTAACATTTTGTTTTAATTTATCGGGTTCCTGTGCAACAGGAACGGGAAATATTTTCCCGAAATTGAGCTTTGATTTGCTAAAAAATAACTTTAAATTTGGCCATATCAGACATTTGGTACAAAATTGTACATGTTGAAAAACATTTTTCTAAAAATTTTCTATTTCTGGGTCTTCTCTCCCTGATTTTGAATTGTAGTTATGTGTATTTTAATTCAAAGAAACGATTACACTTTTTTTAAAAAATGGAGAGAAGACCCAGAGACCACGAAAAGTGAACTTTTCCACAAAAAATCCAAATGTGTCAATGTGGTGCGTCTTTGTTCTTTTAAAGACGGTGATAGCTCAGAAAGTTAGGCTACCTGTTCAGTGCATTCGAAGCGAAAAGTTTTTGATTCGAGCCTGGCATGGGGCGTTAATTTTTTTTCATTCAGGCAAGCAACCATTTGTTTTGTCAGTTTCGTCTTAGGTACTGATGCATTAAAATTTTGAATTAGATAAATTTTGGTCCAGTTTGGTTCTCAAGCGAAATCAATTCTAATCTTCTATTTAATAATGCATATGTACACGTATCAGTTGCATTAAATATATTTTAGGTTTTATTTTTTGTGAAATATTACTATGTTATAGTACCCCCTAGAAAAAAATGGACATAAATGTTGCAATTTCACAAGGTCTTTCAAACTAAATGAAAAAAACCATGGACGTGTTTGTAAAACCTGCAGATCACCCGCCAAATGCGCCCATCTTCTTTGGCCTAAATTTAACTGTAGTGGTGTTTGCTATGACAAAAAAAATCATAATATAAATTAAATTATTTTTTCTTTGTTGCATAAATTAATCTGATCTTAAAGAAATAAATTCCTACGTTCTTTCATTTCTTTGGCAATAACTTTAAGTTCCTTAAAACGATCATCGATCCATTCAAAAAAAAAACTTGAATAAACAAATTTCAACCCTGCAAATATTGAAATCTTATAGAAAATCACAGTTTTGTAACTTTTTCACATGTTCAGTTTAGCGATGTGATTTCATAAGGTCACTTGTAAAATAAAAAAAAATAATAAAAAAAATTGATTAATAAATGAAATTATTTTTTTAAATTGATGAAATACCTTACATAGCAATAACTCCCCCCCCTTTTTTTTCAAGCACAGAATTCAAAAGCTGTTATGAGGTATTTAGCTTTTAATATTTATACAGAATTAATTTAGTCTAATTAGGTTTACATATATGATTTTTATCAACAGATGGTTTTTATAATTCATCAACATCTTATTTTAATAAGATTGAGAAGGTCTGTACTATAAATTATTGATATAATTAGAATCATGTCATTATTTATGCTTTGGTTACTTTAATGTTTTTTAAGTAAATAGGCATACCCTATTATCAATAAACTCATACAAAATATATGCAACTTTCAATGTACGTGGTAAATATTTCATTGGTACTTGCTTAGTGATCTAATTCTTCTTAATGCCATGTATATTTCTTCATCACAACCTTATTATCCCACCTTAATAGGTCTGAAGTCTATTTAACTGATGTTACTTTGTTTTTAATTATTTTTTTTCAATGATGCAGAACTTGTTGTCACAGAGGCAAGAATTTCATAGGATGCAATCCATTTTCAAGTTTATGATAAACTTTATCACATCTAACGTTAAACACAAACATGTATCTCTCAGTCACAGTAAAGCCTAAACAATCATTTAAAAGTTTAACTATGGGTAATGTTATATACTTCACAAGTTTGATTAAAACCATATCCAAAACAGACAGTATTTACTCCTCAAAGTCGTTTTCTGCTGTTTACTTTCACTTTCATTTTCATTGATTTAAGCAAAAGATTTCCGAAAGGGGAAATAACTCTTGTCAAAAATGTGTGTAAATTTAGAGATTTTTACAAACTTTACAATCAATTTATTTTCTTAAAGTAAATAATACCTCTCCAGTTTTTTCATATGTTCTTCATAAATGTATAAGGTGAAATTCAAAGCATCAAAATATTCCACCAGTGGCTGCGTTTTTTGTACACATTGTTATGGTTAACCCCCCTTTTTTAAAGCAATTTTTCATGTTATTTGGCATATAACAGCAAGTCCAAAATTTTTTTTTCATTTTTTTTTTTGATAGAAAATATAAATAACAAATTATTTCAAAGGAAAAAATAAGAATAATCACCTTTATTCAATTAAATGTACCTAAATGGGAAGAAATATAAATTTAGGTATTTACCAGTATGTGAAAAAACAGGTAACCTGGTTGCCATGGAAACAAGACCAATTGATCACTTTTAATATTATTTTTGTAAATCGGGCTTATAATGTAACTATTTCACAAAGTTTCAGCAAAATCCGTGATTTTCAATTTCCAGCCCATTTTGATGCTTACAGAGAATGACTCTTAATAGATCTGATTTTTTAATTAATAAATTATGCCAAGGAACCAAATATTCAGGCGTACACTTCAAAACTGCGACATTTTTAATAATTATAACCATACATGTACATGTATAATCTTTATTTGAATATTTAAAGCTAAATATGGCGTATCTGAGCTAAAAATTAAAATACAAGATTAAGCGTAGATTTACATGAGATTTGGTTTTTATGTTCAAATTAAAAATTTCACCGATATTGAACTTAAATAAATATCCCCACGTTTGTATTAGTTAAATTCAAACTAATTGAATTAAAACTGTGTCTGATATTTAAATTCCGAGTCGATAAGAATCGGCCATTGTTTTAAATAATATAATGACTAGCCTTGGTCTCTGAATTTCACAATTTCGATAAAAGATTGAGTACTCATCATAATCATACAAGCTGTTTACCTGTTAGATTTCAAAGAATAAGTTTATTAGAGATTTTTTACAGATGTTATGCATCTTCATTTCATGACCAATTTAGCAAAATTATGGACCGTGAATCCTAATTCAAGGCAAAGCAATGACTTCTGTAATTTTGTTAAAGGTCGTTTTGCTTTTAATAACCATGTCATCGGTGTGGTTACATGATGTGCAGAAGAATTCAAAATTATTTTGTTGTTTGGATGCCTTCTTGAATGATTCAACTGATCTAAATTTAGAATAATACCTGAGCAAGTTTGCCCGTTGCCAGAAAAGCCAGGATTACAGCTACACGTAAAGCTGCCATCAGTGTTGCTACACGCTGCATTGCTATCACAATTTGATGTACCACGGATACACTCATCAGTATCTGTAATATAGAGGTTAATTTTGTATTAATCCAAAACCATTGTGATCACATGTTTTTTTTTTACTTGTGCATATTATTGTTGTCAAGATTTAGATTTTATGAATAATATATTTTCACTATTATTTTTTTCAATCTTTTAATTGTATCCTCATGATAGTTTTAAATTTATTGCTTTGTAAAGAAATCAAAATGATGCATCCCATTTCCATACATTCTATTTTCAAAGTTTTTCATACATCTTTTTCTAAATAAATATGAAATGTTAAGAGTATGCATGCTATTTCTTATATATCCTCATCAATAGGAATAGCACGTTGCATGAAAACTACAGGACACAAATATTACATATTCTTTGTTCCCCAAGATTTAGTCATTGTAATAGAATATCTTCCCACACTTCCATTTATGAAAAAAAATATAACAATGCTCGAAACAGCGATATCAAGTATCGTAACACTGCATTACGCGTTCACTATAGACACAAAAGATTTAAAGTCTGTCATAAACAATAACCAATATCTGTCGTCTAGTAATTATTCAGGGGTATTCACCCTCGTATATACCTTTCTAGGGCATAAATGATTTCTACTGTGCCCTATTTGTTTAAAGAACTTCAACTATTGAGTAGAAATATTCTTAAAATTGGTCACTGTTCATCCATGAATAGCAAAGGAAGATATGGGGAGGTCGTTTACATCTATGTCGCTTGCTACTTTTAAAGTTTTTTTTAGAACTTTTAAATCCGATAGACTTTATTGGTTTCTTAACATTTTGAACAAAAGGAACATTTAGTATAACTTGCATAAGTGGCTCAGCATATTTGGGTCATTGCGTGGTTTAATTTGTGAACATATCATTCATATTTTCAAACGTGAATTTTATGTAATCGCAGTGTTTAAAGTTGCTTATTCTAACGTGTTGCTGGTAAACTGTTTAAATGTATATATTTTAATTACTACATAATAGCATGCGATCATACCTATACAATTTCCATTCGAGTCCTTCTCAAAGCCTGCATTACAGGTGCAGAGATATGATCCCGTTTGCTCAGTGCAGGTTGCGTTAGCACCACAAATACTGGGATCATTGGTGCATTCTGGGACATCCTCTGTACAGTTAATACCCTGCCATCCAGAACTACAGTAGCAGGTTCCATTCTGTTTGTCACATGACTGAGTGTTACTGAAGTCACACGTACACTGACTGGCACAATTCTGACCATATGTTGTACTCGAACACTCTGCAAATAAACATTTTGTATTCTACTTAAATGTTTCAAATACTAAATTTATAAAGAACATTATTATTTTATACAAATAGAATATTAATTTGTTCTCAAATTTCACCTTTCTCATGCCTGAAGGTATACATTTTTATTTCTGATAAAGAGGTATTCTTTGATAGATATGTCTAGCATCTATCTCCCTTCAAAATTCCAACACGAAGATTCAAAATGAGCTTATTTTCTTTATATAAAAATGACTTAAAGTAAAACTTACGAACACATTGTCCACCAGCGAGAGAATATCCAGGATTACAAATACACGAATAAGATCCATTAGTGTTTGAACATACAGAGTTGATCGGACACATTGTTGTATTCCGACACTCGTCTACATCAACCGAGCAGGTGAGTCCCTCCCAACCTGTTTTACACGTGCAGTTTCCTGACACTTTGTCACACGAAAGAGTATTCTGGGCATTACATGTACAATTAGTTCCACAATTGAGGCCATATTTTCCAAATTCGCAATCTAATCAAAACAAAAGAGTGTATTTTGTTCATTTCAAAAGATAAATACACAATGATCACCGCTCTTCATGTTTTACATATTTAAATAAAACTAACACTTATATGAATTTGGAATATATTCAGAAATTTATTGTTTGAATATAAATCAAACTCTTCTTTACAAAATAAATTAAGAAATTTGAATGGAAACTTTTTATCTTTTGAAAACGATCCTCTTTATCTTACCAATACATGTTCTCTGGTCTACATCCAGCCTCTTTCCGGCAGCACAAGAACAGGTGTATCCGGCACCTGGGGCATTCTGGGTACATGTTTCACTGCATGGATTTGGGGCACATTCGTCAATATCTGTAATTGCAAAAGAGTTCATTTTATTAAACAGAACATTTTCTGATTCTTTCAAATTGTGTTTGTTAAATGAAATAGTTCATTTATAAACTGAAATTATACTAATTATTGTAATTCTTTGTTACTGCTTTAATATACTACACCACATGTATCTCAAGCCAAAAACTTCCAAAAATAATATTATGATATTTCTGCAAGAAAACTGCTATCTATCTGTCTATTTTGTGTTTTATGCCTTCAAGGATCCACTAAAATTATCAGTAGTGTACATGGTGTAATGCTCATAGGATGTCTTCTCCTTCAGCCGATTTCGTGCTTTCTTGTCTAGCCAAGGACCAATTTCCCCTGGTCCTCAAAAAAGCTTTAATTTTCTATTATATTAACATAATCTCATATATCAGAAAAATAGATACCGTCACATGATACCCCATCGGTGCTGTTCAAGCGGTACCCAGAATTACAGAAGCAATATTCTGATCCGTCCGCATTTACTCCACATTGCTGTGAGCAGTTGAAAGTAGTATTTGTACAAAAAGTTCGTGCTATAAAAGAAAAAGACACCAAACTCTTTATAAATTAGATATCGGTACATTTTATATTTATCATGCTGAATGATTCGAAACATTTTAATGAAAATGGTGAGTAATTAAGCTCGTCGTGTTCAGTTCTGTACTAACCATAACATGTAGTTCGTGATGTGGTGTTCAGAAGGAATCCAGCGTTACATAAACACCTGAAACTTCCGATTGTGTTACCGCATACTTGATCACAGGGATTCTCAGGGGCAGAGCACTCGTCATAATCCTCACATTCTGTACCTCTGACCAATCTAAATCCCGCCCTGCAACTACAGGTGTAACTTCCGGGAGTGTTTGTACAACTCTGACTACAGGGGTTGGTATCGCATTCGTTAATATCTGGAATGTAAGAAATTAAAAAAAAAATAATACATTACTATTTCAAAAGTGTAAAAATCATCTTAAATGAAGAAAGAAAAAATATAATATAGAGTTATTCTTTTTAAATAATGAAATATAAAAATAATTCGAATTGTCTATATCTATTATAAGCCTGTCTTTTTAAACGCAGATTTGATTTTTTTTTTCTTAAAATAATTAACCTGTGCAATTTCCTGGGGAGGTTTCATTATATCCGGTACCACATAAACATTTGTATGATCCCGGAGTGTTCTGACACACTTGATTGGCCCCTGTACACGGGTTACTAGCAGAACACTCGTCAATATCGGCATCACATTTGGCCCCGGCCCAGCCTGTTTTACATACACATCCAAGTACATTGTCACATTTGGAAGCACCAGCTCCACAATTACAAGGTGTTGCACAATTCTCTCCATAGTAAAATCCATCACACGCTGTAATTATTTAATGTAATTGTGTGTCAAAAAATCTTGTAAAACGCATTAGCACATCTAATTTTTTTTTTGAAAAGATGCTGAAATTTCTACATTTTTTATGCCTTTGTATTCATTTCCAGACAGACTTAAATTGCACGAAAATATTTTTATTCATTTACCCTCTACTTTTCTGGATTTAAAGAGTCTAGATTACCTAAAGACTTTTTGATGTGGTACATTTTCTATATAAAATCTAATATTTCAAATACGTCTTACTTGAACATGTTCTTCCATCGTTTTCTAAGGAATACCCTGTTGGACATGTACAATTATAGGACCCTGGGATGTTTACACACCTGTCCGGGAGAGAGCATTTGTTCTGTGTGGAATTCAGACATTCATTCACATCTGGAACATACCCAATATTGATAATACAAAATGTACTTATTATCACAATTAATAATCAATTAAATACTGCACAGACTTACCAATGCAAGATCGTTGATCCTGAGCATTTAGAACATAGCCCGCCTCACAGAAACAGTACCCTACGCTTTCGTTGTTTTGGTCTTGCTTGCAACCGTAACTACAGTTCAGGGAGGGAAACAGCGAACAGATGTCGGTAACTGAAGAACGATATTTAAAAATTAATATTATACATGAAGAGTGATAGATAAATTTAGAAATATTCCATTTCTTAAATTTCAGTATCTTATGACACAAGAGAAAACAGGCGTTACCTCTTTCACATGTCCTTCTGTCGTCCCCGAGAGCGAAACCAAACTGACAGTCACAGTTAAATCCGCCATCGACATTTGTACATATCTGAGAACAACCGTCAGAGCCAGCAGTACATTCGTCAAAGTCTTTAGGATTAAGTTTATGTTTTAGCAAATAATTTAAACACTGTTCTCAAATGTCAGTTTTAAAATGAATAAAAAAAACATCATCGTCAGTAACAGTTCGAGACTTCGTCATTTGCAGATGTATTCCTTAAGTCAAGAACATTTCTATAACCATTTAAGCATGTATTGTTCTTTACTTTCAAAAAATAATTTAAAAATTTGACTATCTGGAATATTATTTCTGAATCAATCCAGTTTCATGTTGATTAAAAATGCTAAAATTGCTAATAAAAATAGGAAACCAGAATGAACTTTTACTATACCTTGACATTCGTATGCGTTCTTCTGAATGTAGCCTGTTACACATTGACACGTATAACTACCCTCCGTGTTCTTACACGTAGAGGTGGAGGAGGTACAGTTGTTAGTTCCAGAGTTGGCACATTCATCGATGTCTAAAGAAGTAGTGCAATATAAAACATCACAAAATTCGTGTTTATATTGAGGACCGAATAAAAAAACCAGTGTACAAAATAAAAATTAACGGTACATTATTAGGGTTTTTTTAAATATTAGGTATATACCTATACAGTTTGTTTCATTTTTGACGAATCCTTCTCTACAGTTACAGGTGTAGGATCCCTGGAGATTCTGACATTCCTTGTCTGTACCACAGATTAATGGATTAACTGTACACTCGTCTATATCCTGATCACACTTAGTTCCCGTCCATCCGGACAGACAGACACACCCAGTAACTGGATCACACCTGTCCACCCCCGCACCACACTGACAAACCTTGGTACAGTTATCGCCATAATTTGGTGGAACGCATGCTGAAATATAAATAATAAAAATCAATATAAGATTTCAATTTTATTTTCAAGTTAGGCGACAAAATTCAATCTGAAAATAGGCAAAAATGAAAAATGACATTTTCTAATCCGTCTTACGTGAACATGATGTTTTATCTGAGTTGAGGGTGAAGCCAGCGAGACAGGAACATGTGAAGGATCCGATGGAATTGTCACATCCTTGACAGCAAATGTTGCTTTCGCATTCATCAATATCTAAGGTAATAGTAAAACTTTGTATTTGACACTACAAGAAGGTAGAAATTTACTTCCTGTAATTAATATTTAAACTATTTCCTCACAGCTTTTTCACAAAACTGTCTCTTACATACAGTACATTTAATGTATACAACCCCCAAACACATCTTTGTTAATCAACAATGACTGAAAGCATTAATTCACAATGACCAAGCATAATACAATGCAATTATAAACAATTCAACAGTGAACCATGCCATACACAATCGTCATAAACAGCAATCATTTATATTTAATATTACCTATTCTGTTTTCCTGAAGCTAATCATAATCTATGAAGTAAGATTTTTAAACTTACAAAGTTTTCATAAAATCAGTTATACACAATTCAAGGCGTTTTCCATCTATTCTCGCAGTCATTTTGTAATTTTATGATGGTCTTCCAATGGTATTGATATTTTTAATTTATCTATCAGTTAGACATCATTCATTTCATGATTTCAATTAATGCATTAACTTAATAATTATTTCAGTAAAAGAAATCTTCATTTATTTCGTACCTGTACAGTTTTCTCCGTTGGCATCAAGTCTATACCCTATGGGACAGACGCAGGCGAAGGTTCCAGTAGAGTTATCGCATGTGTATTCACAACTCAAGTTAGCAGCAGCACAGAGGTCCGTTACTAAGAAAAGATGAGAAACAGTATGTCGCAAACATTTCAATGATTATTGCATGATTATAACAAGAGGCCCACGGGCCTTATAGGTCACCTGAGGATCATGTAACAACTTTTGACAATTGAACTTATTTCGTGTTTTAAACCACAGGCCATGAAATTCATAATTTTGAAAGAGGCAGTATTGCTTATCATAATTATACACTTAGCATGCTTACTCTAGTTACTTAATACCAAGAAGCAGATCAGAGTAACAAAGAGAAAATGTACTTCCACTTTATAACCAGTTATGCACCTCACTCCAAAGGAACCACTAACCCTGGGGCCATTTATTTCAAAATTTTGGAAACTTTATCATAAAATTTATTTCATCATAAATGGTTGATTAATACCAAAACGAAGATTTCAAAGCATTAATTTATTTTCAGACTAAGTAACCCCCCACCCCTACCCCTGACTCAGGGACATAAAATTCACCGTATATTTCTAGATGCACCTTTTTTCATCATTATATATAAACTTAGATAATTGGCATAATTTAATACCCTGGAGCAAAGGAAAAGATTTTCAAAGAATTAATGTATTTTCAGTATATAATCAAAAGAGCCCCCCCCTAAAGCAAATGGCAGAACCCCTGATACAGGGGACATAATAAACCACAAATTTGGTTGAGGTGCCATTCTTGCTCATCATAACTATGTACTTTGTTTATTTAATACCCAGAAGCAGAGAAGAAGATTTTTAAATAATAAATGCATTTTCAATAGCGCCCAGCATTAACACCAGAACCCCTGACCCTGGGGCCATAAAATTCAAAATTTTGAAAGAGGCTCTCTTGGTCATCATAACAATGTATTTAGTTAGTTTATTTTATACCCAGGAGCAGAGAAGAAGATTTTCAAAGAATTAATGCATTTTCACTATATAATCAATAGAGCCCTGCCCTAACACCAGAACCCCTGACACTGGGGCCAAAACATTCACAATTTTGAAAGAGGCACTCTTGCTCATCATACCAATGTACTTAGTTAGTTTTTTAATACCCAGGAGCAGAAAAAAAATTCAAAGAATTAATTCATTTTCACTATGTAATTAATAGAGCCCCCCCCCCCCCCAACACCAGAGCTAAACTTGACCCTGGGGCCTTAAAATTAACAATTTTGAAAGAGGCACTCTTGCTCATCATAACAATGTACTTAGTTAGTTTATCGAATACACAGGAACAGAGAAGAAGATTTTCAAAAAAATTATGCATTTTCACTATATAATCAATGGAGCCCCACCCTTACACTAGAACCCCTGACCCTGGGGCCATAAAATTCACAAATCTGAAAGAGGCAATCTTGCTCATCATAACTATGTACTTAGTTTGTTTATTTGATACTCAGGAGCAGAGAAGAAGATTTTCAAAGAATTTATGCATTTTCACTATATAATCAATAGAGCCCCGCCCTATCACCAGAATCCCTGCCCATGGGGCCATAAAATTCTCAAATCTGAAAGAGGCACTCTTGCTCATCATAACTATGTACTTCATTCCTTTGTTTGATACCCAGGAGCAGAGAAGTAGATTTTCAAAGAATTTATGCATTTTCACTATATAATTAATAGAGCCCCGCCCTTACACCAGAACCCCTGACCCTGGGGCCATAAAATTCACAAATCTGAAAGAGGCACTCTTGCTCATCATATCTATGTACTTAGTTTGTTTATTTGATACCAAGGAGCAGAGAAGAAGATTTCAAAGAATTTATGCATTTTCTCTATATAATCAATAGAGCCCCGCCTTTACACTAGAAACCCTGACCATGGGGCCATAAAATTCACAAATCTGAAAGAGGCACTCTTGCTCATCATAACTATGTACTTAGTTTGTTTTTTTGATACCCAGGAGCAGAGGAGAAGATTTTCAAAGAATTTATGCATTTTCACTATATAATCAATAGAGCCCCACCCTAGCACTAGAACCCCTGACCCTGGCGCCATGAATTTCACAAATTTGGTAGAGAACTCAATGCTGATTACAATCATACCAACAATTTGACTGCTTGATGTCCAGGAGTAAAGAAGAAGATTTTTAAAGATTTCACTAATTTTAGTGGTTTTGGCCCCACCCCCAAGGCCCCAGGGGGGCAGGGACCATGAAATTCACAATTTTTGTTCCCCTTCACCCATACATGCTGTATGCCAAATTTGGTTGAATTTGGTTCAGTGGTTTCAGAGAAGAAGATGAAAATGTTCAAATGTTAACACACGACGCACGACGCACGACGACGGACGAAAACGGATAGCAATAGGTCACCTGAGTTTACTCAGGTGACCTAAAAATATACTAAAAATACTGAGCAACGTTTTAAACTGTCATCTTATACATTTTTATTTTAAAAGTTTATACTCTTGGCCATTTCTTTTCTAAAATTGTAGATAAGAGGCTTGATACCTAGTTTGGTACATGTTTTATTGTCGCTGTTAAGGGTATGTCCCACTACACAGGAACAGCTGAATGATCCAGGGGAGTTTATACATATCTGCTCACAGCCAGAGGTACTCTCAGTACATTCATCAATATCTGGAAATGTAGAAAATCCAAGGTCAGTGGAAAGAATGAGGTAATTATTGTAATTAAAACTTCATTCAAGCCTACTGCATAGTACAAGTAAGAATGAATTTTCGATTTTCGTATTCCTGTTACATTTTTTACTATGAAAATTTTTTAAAATATCAGTATGCCCATAATATATCTAGTTTTAGGCCTCTTTAAAACCGTTTGAAATCTAGGAGGTTCATGTGTCAATGTTTTCCAGAACGTTTGATTTAAGAAAAATACAAGTTAGATTTGAACTCTGCAACATTTGAATAAAATATTCTCAAATCAAAAATAGTGTCTGTAGCAAAAAAATGTCAGAGAAGATAAAAATAATGTCTTAAGTCTCTCGTATCCAACAAACCAAAAGTTGTGACAAACACAAACAATAAATGTTACGGGTGGTTTATTTTACATGCCTTTATATCCTTCAGTTACACATTGACTATAAATTGACTTATAAATGCAAATTCGGTAGGTTTTTAATGTGTTTAGCTAAAGAGGTGCATGAACTCAAATATCACAAGCAGTTTATCTTTATTTATTAAAAAAAATTATATTTCAATGTTTATTCAGTAAGGGTTATTACATTATGCCCCTTTTTTAATGATTACAATCGTTATATTTCTGTTGAGTAAACGTGAGTCCGCACCTTGGCACGTCTGACCGACTTTCCAATAGCCCTCTTTACAATTACACAGGTAGCTCCCCTCCGTGTTTTCACAATGCTGGGTGACGGAATCACAAGGGTTTGTAGTGTTACACTCGTTGATATCTGTAATAAAAAGGTTGCAGTTGATATAAATTAATATCTCTAAAATTACAATAATCACTATTCACTCATTAATACCTATAGTTAAAAATTACATTATATCTGCAATAAAAAGAGCATGGCCTTACACTCATTGAGTTATTTTTTTTTATAGAAAATGCTGTTACACTCATTTATATAACTGTAATAAAAATATTATTATTACATTTATTGATATCTTAAATAGAAAGATATAACGATTTATGGTGTTACACTTATTGAGATTTGTAATAAAAAGATATCATATAATTAACCAACTGATACAAAATTGTATCGACTTTAAAAAAGTTTTTAACAGAAATGTTGTGGCCTGTACCATCACATTTACTGCCCACTTCCTGGTATCCGGAGGGACAATCTGTACAATTGTATCCTCGACCCAGGGCTACTTCCTCCTGAGGGGTCAGGTCCGTACAGTTCCTCCCCAGAGCACAGGGATTCTGAAGGCAGGCGTCTTCATCGTTCTCACAGTCATCACCTTAGAATAAAACATTGATAGTATGGATACTATATCGAAAAAAAAATTGAAGAATCAGCGTGTCAAGTTTCTACATGGAAACGTCATTTTTCTGAGGTAATAATAATATTTGAATTCCTTTTAAGTATATCTTTTAAACAATTTTATTAAAGGATAATAGTTAATTAACCCTATGAAAGTTATTCCTCTTGTCAAAGAGTCAATGAACCTTAATTATGCTATGATCGTTAGACACAGCTTTCACTGCTTTACCATCATATCCTGTGTCACACACACAGACAGCCAGGTTAAACATGCTGCTAGAACTGGTTCTTGTACTATTGTAGTTACATGTTCCTTGGTTGCTACAACCACTACATAATATAATAGCGACATCTACCGGAGAGGCGGAAACATTCTTGTCATCAACCACAGTCACGCTAAAAGAAGAGGAATAGTGATACATTTGTCAATCTAAAACTCGTTAACATTTGCCATAAAAGTTCCTCTCAGAAAAAGGGGTAAAACATCCGAGACCACCAGACGGAGTTATATTTCCCTAAAAGTTAACATTACATAATATTTGTACCTGATGTTGACAACACCGGTGTCACTTGGTGTCCACGTTGCTATGCCGGAGCTGGTGTTAAGGTTGAACCCAGAGGCTGGCTCCTGGAGAATTTGGTAAGTGTATGTCCCGTCGTCTGAAGCATTGAACTTAATTTCTACAGGTTGATTCACTTCTGCCAAAATTTGATCGCCGCCTTCTAATTCTATATCTGGAGTTTCATTATCTGACCAAGGAAAATACAATAGATCCACATTTAGATCGATACATGTATCAGTACTAACTTTTTTCGAAAACATATTACAATTAAATACAATAAATACTAACTTAGCATATTTTGAAAAGTCTCCCTGTTATTATGATGATAAAATAAATCATAAGCATTACCTGCAGTTGCACTCTCCGTCTCGAAGTTATTCTGTTCACCTCCAGATGTTATTGCTAGCTCTTGATTTTTTGTTGCCAGGAAGTCAAATATACAAGACTGTGTAGCAGAGGCACCACCACAAGCTATGATGGACGCATTTCGTTCCTCTTCTGAAAATTCGTCAATGAAGAAGGGGACAAAATCGGGATGTGAGAAATCTGAATGCGAGTACCCAACGCCGTAGTGAAACAGTGACGTGCTCTCATTAACACTCCCTGTAATACGAAAATATTCAGTTAAATTAAATAGAATGGTTTGATTTTGAAGAGGAAGAATTTTGACAACAACAAAAGATGAAAATATATTTAATTTTTGAAAAATAGGTAGAAGATTAATTGGTTACTGTAATCACGACAAGATGTGAGTAGACCGTTAAACACGTATTTTCATTATGTGATCGTTGCATCTTTCTTAAAGTTCGATTCCTTTGATAAGAATTCCACTGCTTTTTTGAAGATGTCATGTTCTCCAAACTACGCCTGTGTTTACTCTGGGTTTTTTTTATTGAAATTATCATGATGAGAGATTGAAGTGTCTGGTAATACTACTCTTTGGGTTTCAACTCAACAGTTTGCATTCAAAAATTAAATCTTGACTTCTTACTTTATGTTGTTAATTCCAACGTTATTCTTTATTTTATTATTTCTTATCTATGTATTTATTTTATTGTTCATTCATTCATTTATTTTATTTATTTATTTATTTATTTATTTATTTATTTATTTATTTATTTCGGCCTTAACCGTAATTTTTTAAGTTGGCCTTTTTCTGTTAATTCAATCTTCGCAATTTTAAAGTTTAAATTGGTTTTCTAATTGTCAACCTAAAAGTTAGAAGAACCATTTTTTATGATAAAAAAGCCAAGCCTAGACTTAGAATCACTGCATTGAAAAAAACAAGATTCATGTTGGAATAACTTATTAGACCTTACAAAAATTACGAAGCACGAATTACATTTGCTTCCACAGTTTAAAGAGTTAAAGACAAGAATTTTAAAGACGCTATATGCGTTATCAAAATACGTATTTTTCAGGCTTCGTCTCACTATGGAACGCAAGACTATAGCTGTGGGCTTGAAATCTTATGACAAACATGCAAAAAGTCCACTTGTTAAATTCAGGTCTCAAGGTGATTTCACTTGCAACACATGACCAACTTATATTTATTGTCAAATAGTTACAAATTTCACAACTTTGGTATTTATAAAATCAATTTTCATGAATATTTCTTTTTCACAATATTTAAGACCGCTGCAAAAAAGACGCGTTAAATGGAAAGGAAACGACTGGTCACTATACTCATCCTTTGTATTTTATCCATATTCCATTTATATGATAAACTTTATATTTGTAACTTACAGATTTGTCCGAAATTATGGTAGATTTTCCTCTCTGTGTCTACTTTGTCCCCTGTAAGTAAGGTGCCGTTTGGCAGTACGAAGTCGTTGTTTTTATCCCCATCAAAGTTCCCCATAAGTCCACTAATGTTTCCCCTGTAGTCCTCGCTGACCACGCTCTCACAGGTTAGAAATCCCACACCTTTACTGATAGTCAGTGAAACAGCTAAAACGACAAGTACACCAATATAATAAAAGACAAGCTTTTTCCTTTCTTGATTGAATTAAGCATTGTTGAATCAGATGAATACGTACAACTTTGTAAAAATGTAGCGGTAACAGTTTCGTTTTCCCTGGAAATTGAAATATCATCCGTGAGAAAGGAGAATTCTGGATCGTTGTCGAATTCAAGTGTCAAGTCGCGTCCATTTCCACGAATATACATTTCTGCAAATAATTTTTGTTCATATCAGTTTAAGTTGAATTTATAAAACTTGATTGAACATTTATTATTGATTATTTATTTTCCTGCAATACTTACTATTCCTGTTTCTAGACAGTTCCACCTGGAACGAAGCATTGGAATGATCTTTGGCTGCAAATCCACTGAAAATTGTGGCGTTGATTTTAGTTCCATTAGCGGAAAGGGCCAGATCAGTCCGCCCCTGGAGTTCAAACTGAGATCCCCCTACATCACCCTTCATCATGATGTATTCACCGTAGCCGTTAAAGGTGTATTGACCGCCATCCAGTGTAGCAACATGGGGGTCACCCCAAAACCAACCTATCGAGAAAAAGTAAGAAATAATGTACATTAATTTTTTACATAAATGTATCATGTTTGTTAATATGATATTTATGTATATATTACCAGGGTATATTGATTATCTGTTTAGAAGTAAATTATATAAACAGAAAAATATATTTCAAATGCTTTAATTGTCTAATTCAAAATAAAGCAGACATGGTCAGATAGAAGATGTAAACCTGTCTATTCCGAAGTCGACCAACATTCTTAAAACATGTAAAATTTACATTTCGCGGTGATTTTAATTCGTTGGTCTCTTCATACATCGAAAATAACGAAAATTAAACCCCCTCTAAAATAAGTGAATTCACAATTATTAATGATAATACGCACTAGGCCTAGATCGTGCTCTCCGGTAACACCGTGTCCTGGGTCTGACGTCATAGTACCAGTCACAGTGTCCTGAATTACAGCAGGTTCTCTTGGCATCAAAATCATTGAGGTAATACTGTCTCCTTAAGCGAAATGGACTGTATTGCAGAAGACTACCGGCAGCTGGAATAGCGAATGTGCGGGCGCCACGGGCTCTTCCACGCCAATTCATAGGGTAACAGCATTCCTACAGTGAGTATTTGAAAAGAATATTTTAAACATCCTTAACCATTGGGTTTAATTGAAACATTTTGATGTATATTTATGTTAAGCATAGATGTTTCCATAAATATCTTTATATGGAATTTGTCGTATAAATTTTGAATTTACCGGGGTCAGTAATTACGAAATTTACAACATGACTACTAGTAACCGGTATTTGTATTTACTGCCACCCGGTAAATTCAAAATTTACAACACGACAAATCTTTATATGATTATTTAGGCCTACATACTTGTCATATATGTCATGTATATGTAAGACTCTTTTCTATTATGTATTTGACACATCTAGATAAGTTATTGTATTTATAAGACGTCTCCAATCAAATATATACAATTATATTATGTTTAAAAAGTACAAGACAATTGAAAATGTGAAAAACGCAATTAATTTCTGTCTTCACAACCATAAAACTTACAGTGCTTTCCGGTGAGGTAAGTGAAGCGTAGCAGATGACGTTGTTCTCCAGGTCAACTCTATTGAACCTAAACATGGGAGTTAATCTCAGCAGACGACTGCTACATGGACACTGGTATCTACTCCAGGATCTCAGGCGTTTGAGGCGTGTGTCGACTCCACGCAGTTTGTTTTCTATGTACCAGTTAAAGCATTTTTTCTCCTCTAGATTTTCGGACACTTCACTTGTCATCTTGTAGATCCAGAAGCCATTTAATTCTAGATAAGAATAGATTCTTATCGTTAAATTTATATCTCTTTTTCCATCAAACTTATAAGGAAATCTCCATGGAATGTATAATTTTTTTTAATTAAGTTCGATTTTAAATACTTTTAGTGTTATATATGTAGAAATCACATTACCTGAATTTCCTTGGATCCTACTCATTTTGAAAGCTCCATTTTGGTTGCTATAGGAATTGCTAGTGTAAATTCCTTTGTAACGGTATCCAATGGAAATTTTAAAGTTAGTTTTGGGAGTAATATCTACATCCATATAGTTGAATACAACAAATGTATTTTCACCGTCTGTGATCAAAAGACTTTGGAAAGTCACTTTCTGTAAAAAGAATTATTATAAAGTCATCTTCATCCGAAGTCTTAAAAAATTCAACTTTAAAACAGATTTAGTAAATGTTTATGAATTTGGATCAGTTCGAAATTATTTTGTTCTGTCTTTCCTTTTTTGGCTAAAACTGAATTCACATTTGACCTTCCATTTATACATCTTGATCTTACTTTTGATTGGTCGCCGAAAATATTCATTTTGTACCAAGTTGCTTTGACTACCCAGATAGAATCAAAATTGGGAAAATCCTTAAAGTAAGTTTTCACGATCTTGTTAGCTCTGTCAAGCATGGTCTGGGAATAATCATCACCTCTGTAATTAAATACATTTAATTTAATTTATCTACCAAAATAATTATGGTATTCAAACTCAGTAGCTTAATAATTTTTAGAAAGATGTGATCACTGTTTAATTGCTCTTTTGAACCATCGGGCGTATCTGTTCTTACTTCTTATAACCTCTGTAGTAAACTTTTCCATCATCCACATTCAGGTTTGAGTTTCCTATCAGATCTGTCCAATATGGACACAGGATTTTACGCCTGCTTGTTGTGTAGGAAGAGAGATCTTGAACAGAGATGCTATTGTAACTTTCACCTAATCCTATTATTCCATTTGTTCCAATCTAAATAAGAAATCGACAAAATGTACAAACTGTATTTTTCTTCAAATATTTGAATCGTCTAGATTATTATTTCTTCACTTTAGCATCCTAGTTAATTTTGTTTTTGAATAATAGACAGTTTGAATTTGAAAAAAGAAAATCGCTACCTTTGCGAATGTAAATTTTCCCTCTGAGCCATCACCAACAGAAACTCTTGTAGGAGCAGACAAAGTCACGCCTACATTGTCATCTCCAGTGAGAATAAAGTCAGATTCGGTAGATCCAAATGGGAAAGGTTCTGTCACAATTAATTGAAATTCATACTTTTGATACAATATATAAGGGATAAAGAAAGAACTAATGCAAAATAATAATGGAAAAAATGTTTCAGTTTCAAATAAACAAATGTAATGATAACATTAAAACAAGTCGATTTTACCGTTTACATTTGCAGCTGCTTCTGTAGAAGTTTTTGTCGCCTCCGTAGTTGACACTATTGGAGCCTCAGTTGTGGTAGTTGCGTCTGCTGTTGTTGTTGCACCTTCTGTTGAGGTTGCAGCCTCTGTTGTTGTTGCAGCCTCTGTTGTTGTTGCAGCATCTGTTGTTGGTACAGTCTCTGTTGTTTGTACAGTCTCTGTTGATGTTGCTGCTGCTTCTGTTGTAGTAATTGCCTCTTTTGTTGTTGTTGCAGCCTCAGTTGTTGCGGTTTCTGTTGTTGTTGCTGACATTGTTGTTGCAGGTTCTGATGTTGTTGTAGCTGCCTCTGTAGTTATTGTTGTAAAAACTATTGTTGTTTTAGCTGCCTCTGTTGTTGTTGCTGCTACCTCTGTAGTTGTTTCAGTATCTGTTGTTGTTTCAGACTTTGTAGTTGTGGCAGCTTCTGTTGTTGTTATCACAGCCTCTGTAGTTGTAGGAGCTTCTGTTGTTGTTGTAGCGACCTCTGTTGTACTAACAACCTCTGTATTTGTGGGAGCTTCTGTTGTTGTAGTCAGAGTCTCTGTTAAAGTTGCAGACTCTGTTGTTGTTGAAACCTTTGTTGTTGTCGCAGACTCTGTTGTGGTTACAGCTTCTGTTGTTGTTGTTGTTGTTGCAACCTCTGTTGTCGTGGCAGCTTCTATTGTTGTCGCAGATACTGTAGTTGTGACAGTTTCTGTTGTTGTTGTAGCAGCCTCTGTTGTAGTTACAGCCTCTGTTCTTGTGGCAGATCCTGTTGTTGTTGCAGCCTCTGTAGTTGTGGCAGCTTCTGTAGTTGCTGTCGCAGCCTCTGTTGTTGTTGTTGCAGCCTCTGTAGTTGTGCCAGCTTCTGTAGATGCTGTCGCAGCCTCTGTAGTTGTAGCAGATTCTGTTGTTAATGAAGTAGCCTCTGAAGTAGTCGCAGCCTCTGTGTTTGTGGCCGCTTCAGTAGTTGTTGTCGCCGCCTCTGTAGTTGTGGCAGCCTCTGTTGATGTTATTGCAGCCTTGGTTGTAGTAACAACCTCTGCAGTTGTGACAACCTCTGTTGTTGTTGCAGCGTTTGTAGTTGTTGCAGCCTCTGTTGTTGCTGTTGCAGCCTCTGTTGTTGTTGCAGCCTCTGTAGTTGTGGCAGCCTCTCTTGTTGTGGTAGCTTCTGTTGTTATTGTTGCAGCCTCTGTTGTTGTTGTCACAACTTCTGTAGATGTGACAGATTCTGTAGTTGTTTTAGCAGCCTCTGTAGATGTGACAGCTTCTGTACTAGTTGTTGCAGCCTCTGTAGTTGTTGCAGCTTCTGTACTAGTTGTTGCAGCTTCGGTAGTTGTGGCAGCTTCTGTTGTTGTTGTATGGGCCTCTATTGTTGTTGCAGCCTCTGTAGTTGTGGCAGCTTCTCTTGTTGTTACAGCCTCTGTTGTTGTTGCAGCTTCTGTTGTTGTGACAGATTCTGATGTTGTTGTCACAGCCTCTGTAGTTGTGGCGGATTCTGTTGTTGTTGTTATTGCAGCCTCTGTTGTTGTTGTTGCAGTCTCTGTTGTTGTTGCAGCCTCTGTTGTGGTTGCAGCCTCAGTATTTGTGACAGCCTCTGTTGTTGTTTCAGACTCTGTTGTTGTTGCAGCCTCTGTAGTTGTGGCAGCCGCTGATGTTGTCACAGCCTCTGTAGTTGTGAAGGATTCTGTTGTTGTTGCAGCCTCTGTTGTTGTCACAGCTTCTGTAGTTGTTGCCGCTTCTGTAGTTGTTGCAGCTTCTGTAGTTATTGTTGCAGGCTCTGTAGTTGTGGGAGCCTCTGTTGTTGTTGCTGCCTCTGTAGTTGTGGCAGCTTCTGTTGTTGTTGTTGCAGCCTCTGTTGTTGTTGCAGCAGCCTCTGTAGTTGTGGCAGCTTCTGTTGTTGTTGTTGCAGCCTCTGTAGTTGTGGCAGTTTCTGTTGTTGTTGTTGTTGTTGCAGCCTCTGTAGTTGTTGTAGCAGCCTCTGTTGTTGTGGCAGCTTCTGCTGTTGTTGTTGCAGCCTCTGTTGTTGTTGCAGCCTCTGTAGCTGTGGCATTTTCTGCTGTTGTTGCAGCCTCTGTTGTTGTTGCAGACTCTGTAGTTGTAGCAGCCTCTGTAGTTGTTGTAGCAGCCTCTGTTGTTGTGGCAGCTTCTGCTGTTGTTGTTGCTGCCTCTGTTGTTGTTGCAGCCTCTGTAGTTGTTGCAGTTTCTGTTGTTGTTGTTGCAGCCTCTGTTGTTGTTGCAGACTCTGTAGTTGTAGCAGCCTCTGTAGTTGTTGTAGCAGCCTCTGTAGTTGTAGCAGCTTCTGTTGATGATGTTGCAGCCTCTGTTGTTATTGCAGCCTCTGTAGTTGTGGCAGTTTCTGTTGTTGTTGCAGCCTCTGTTGTTGTTGCAGACTCTGTAGTTGTAGCAGCCTCTGTAGTTGTTGTAGCAGCCTCTGTAGTTGTAGCAGCTTCTGTTGATGTTGTCGCAGCCTCTGTTGTTGTTGCAGCCTCTGTAGTTGTGGCAGCTTCTGTTGTTGTTGTTTGGGACTCTGTTGTTGTTGCAGCTTCAGTAGTAGTGGCAGCTTCTGTTGTTGTTGTCGCAGCCTCTGTTGTTGTTGCAGTCTCTGTAGTTGTGGCAGTTTCTGTTGTTGTTGTTGCTGCCTCTGTTGTTGTTGTTGCAGCCTCTGTAGTTGTAGCAGGCTCTGTAGTTGTTGTAGCAGCCTCTGTAGTTGTGGCAGTTTCTGTTGTTGTTGCAGCCTCTGTTGTTGTTGCAGCCTCTGTAGTTGTGGCAGTTTCTGTTATTGTTGTTGCAGCCTCTGTTGTTGTTGCAGCCTCTGTAGTTGTAGCAGACTCTGTAGTTGTAGCAGCCTCTGTAGTTGTAGCAGCTTCTGTTGATGTTGTTGCAGCCTGTGTTGTTGTTGCAGCCTGTGTTGTTGTTGTTGCCTCTGTAGTTGTAGCAGCTTCTGTTGTTGTGGCAGCTTCTGTAAATGTGGCAGCTTCTGTTGTTGTTGTGGCAGTTTCTGTTGTTGTTGTTGCAGCCTCTGTAGTTGTAGCAGGCTCTGTAGTTGTTGTAGCAGCCTCTGTAGTTGTGGCAGTTTCTGTTGTTGTTGTTGCAGCCTCTGTTGCTGTAGCAGCTTCTGTAGTTGTGGCAGCCTCTGTTGTTGTAGCAGCCTCTGTTATTGTTATTGCAGTCTCTGTAGTTGTGGCAGCATCTGTTGATGTTGCAGCCTCTGTTGTTGTGGCAGTTTCTATTGTTGTTTGAGCCTCTGTAGTTGTTGTAGCAGCCTCTGTAGTTGTGGCAGCTTCTGTTGTTGTTGTTGATGCAGCCTCTGTTGTTGTTGCAGTCTCTGTAGTTGTGGCAGTTTCTGTTGTTGTTGTTGCTGCCTCTGTTGTTGTTGTTGCAGCCTCTGTAGTTGTAGCAGGCTCTGTAGTTGTTGTAGCAGCCTGTGTAGTTGTGGCAGCTTCTGTAGTTGTTGTTGCAGCCTCTGTTGTGGTTGCAGCCTCTGTAGTTGTGGCAACTTCTGTTGTAGTTGTGTGAGCCTCTGTTGTTGTTGCAGCCTCTGTAGTTGTAGCAGACTCTGTAGTTGTAGCAGCCTCTGTAGTTGTAGCAGCTTCTGTTGATGTTGTTGCAGCCTGTGTTGTTGTTGCAGCCTGTGTTGTTGTTGTTGCCTCTGTAGTTGTAGCAGCTTCTGTTGTTGTGGCAGCTTCTGTAAATGTGGCAGCTTCTGTTGTTGTTGTGGCAGTTTCTGTTGTTGTTGTTGCAGCCTCTGTAGTTGTAGCAGGCTCTGTAGTTGTTGTAGCAGCCTCTGTAGTTGTGGCAGTTTCTGTTGTTGTTGTTGCAGCCTCTGTTGCTGTAGCAGCTTCTGTAGTTGTGGCAGCCTCTGTTGTTGTAGCAGCCTCTGTTATTGTTGTTGCAGTCTCTGTAGTTGTGGAAGCTTCTGTTGTTGTTGTTGCAGCCTCTGTTGGTGTTGCAGCCTCTGTTGTTGTAGCAGCCTCTGTTGCTGTTGTGGCAGCTTCTGCTGTTGTTGTTGCAGCCTCTGTTGTTGTAGCAGCCTCTGTAGTTGTTGTAGCAGCCTCTGTAGTTGTGGCAACTTCTGTTGTTGTTGTTACAGCCTCTGTTGTTGTCGCAGCCTGTATAGTTGTGGCAGCTTCTGTTGTTGTTGTTGCAAACTCTGTAGTTGTTGCAGCTTCTGTAGTTATTGTAGCAGCCTCTGTTGTTGTGGCAACTTCTGTTGTTGTTGTTTGAGCCTCTGTTGTAGTTGCAGCCTCTGTTGTTGTTGCAACCTCTGTAATTGTGGCAGCTTCTGTTGTTGTTATTGCAGCCTCTTTTGTTGTTGCAGCCACTGTTGTAGTTGCAGCTTCTGTAGTTGTTTGGGCCTCTGTGGTTGTGGCAGCTTCTGTTGTTGTTGTTGCAGCCTCTGTTGTTGTTGCAGCCTCTGTAGTTGTTGCAGCCTCTGTAGTTGTGGCAGCTTCTGTTGTTGTTGTCAGAGCCTCTATTGTTGTTGCAGCCTCTGTTGTTGTGGCAGCTTCTGTAGTTGTTGTTGCAGCCTCTGTAGTTGTGGCAGCTCCTGTTGTTGTTACAGCCTCTGTTATTAATGCAGCCTCTGTTGTTGTCACAGCTTCTGTTGTTGTGACAATTTCTGATGTTGTTGTCACAGCTTCTGCAGTTGTTGTCGCAGCTTCCGTTGTTGTCGGTTCCTCTGTAGTTGTGGCAGATTCTGTTGTTGTAGTCGGAGCCACTGTTGTAGTTGCAGCTTCTGTAGTTGTGGGAGATTCTAATATTGTTGTCGCAGCCTCTGTAGTTGTGGCAGCTTCTGTTGTAGTTGTCAGAGCCTCTGTAGTTGTGACAGCTTCTGTTGTTGTCGGAGCCTCTGTAGTTGTGGCAGCCTCTGTTGTTGTAGTCAGAGCCACTGTTGTAGTTGCAGCCTCTGTTGTTGTCGCAACTTCTGTTGTTGTGACAGATTCTGATGTTGTTGTCACAGCCTCTGTAGTTGTGACAGCTTGTGTTGTTGTCGGAGCCTCTGTAGTTGTGGCAGATTCTGTTGTTGTTGTCAGAGCCACTGTTGTAGTTGCTGCTTCTGTAGTTGTGGCAGGTTCTATAGTTGTTGTCGCAGCCTCAGTACTTGTGGCAGCTTCTGTTGTAGTTGTCGGAACCTCTGTTGTTGTCACAGCCTCTGTGGTTGTGGCAGCTTCTGTTATTGTTGCAGCCTCTGTTGTAGATGCAGCCTCTGTTGTTGTGGCAGCTTCTGTAGTTGCTGTTGCAGCTTCTGTAGTTGTTGCAGCCTCTGAAGTTGTTGTTGCAGCCTCTGTAGTTGTGGCAGCTTCTGTTGTTGTTGTTTGGGTCTCTGTTGTTGTTGCAGCCTCTGTAGTTGTTGCAGCCTCTGTTGTTGTTGTTGCAGCCTCTGTTGTTGTTGCAGCCTCTGTAGTTGTGGCAGCTTCTGTTGTTGTTGTTGTCACAGCCTCTGTAGATGTGACAGCTTCTGTAGTTGTTGTAGCAGCCTCTGTAGTTGTGGCAGCTACTGTTGTTGTTACAGCCTCTGTTGTTGTTGCAGCCTCTGTTGTTGTCGCAGCTTCTGTTGTTATGACAGATTCTGATGTTGTTGTCACAGCCTCTGTAGTTGTGACAGCTTCTGTTGTTGTCAGAGCCTCGGTAGTTGTTTCAGCTTCTGTTGTTGTTGGAGCCACTGTTGTAGTTGCAGCCTCTGTAGTTATTGTTGCAGCCTCTGTAGTTGTGGCAGCTTCTGTTGTAGTTGTCAGAGCCTCTGTTGTTGTCGCAGCCTCTGTAGTTGTGGCTGCCTCTGTGGTTGTGACACCCTCTGTTGTTGTTGCTGCCTCTGTTGTCGTGGAAGCTTCTATAGTTGTTGTTGCTGCCTCTGTGGTTGTTGCAGCCTCTGTTGTTGTCGCAGCCTCTGTAGTTGTGGCAGCTTCTGTTGTTGTTGCAGCCTCTGTTGTAGATGCAGTGTCTGTGGTTGTTGCAGCCTCTGTTGTTGTCGCAGCCTCTATAGTTGTGACAGCTTCTGTAGTTGTTGTCGTAGCCTCTGTTGTTGTGGCAGATTCTGTTGTTGTTGTTGCAGTCTCTGTTGTAGATGCAACCTCTGTGGTTGTGCCAGCTTCTGTTGTTGTCGTAGCAGCCTCTGTAGTAGTTGCAGCTTCTGAGGTTGTTGAGATTTCTATGGTTGTAGCAGCCTCTGTTGTTGTTGCAATCTCTGTTGTAGTTGTTACAGACTCTGTTGTCGTTGCTGCCTCTGCTGTTGTGGTTGTGGCTTCTGTTGTTGTTGCTTCTTCTGTTGTTGTGGTTGCAGGGTCTGTTGTTGTTGAAGCTTCTGTTGTGGTTGCAGCCTCTGTTGTGGTTGTAATTGTCTCTGTTGTTGTTGCTGCTGCTGCATCTGTAGTAGTTACAGTGTATGTTGTGGTTCCATCCTGAGTTGTTGTTGTAGCTGCCTCTGTTGTTGTTTCAGCCTCTGTTGTTGTTGTCGCCGCTTCTGTTGTTGTTGCTGTTGAAGTCTCTGTTTCTGCTTGAGTTGTTGTAACTACGTCAGTTGTTGTTTCATCTTCAGTTGTGGTTGCGTCTGTGGTTGTGACATTGAGTGTTTCAGTTGTGGTTGCCGCCTCAGAAGTTGATGTTACTGTTATCTCCTCGTCAGTAGTTGTTAATTCACTTGTTAATGCTTCTGTTGTGGTAGAACTTGTTATGTCTTGAGGTAGATTTAAAAGCAATAAGGCCAAAAGAAAAGGAGTCCTCATTTTCTGTAGACAAAAAATAAAATCAATTAAATATCATTAATGTATATTAAAAACCAGTATTTTTTGTGTGCATAAAGGTTATTCGATCAAAACAGTACCATTTGACACCAGGATTTTTTTTCCTTTTGTATGCATTCTTTAAAACCCGGAATATTCATTTATTTGTGTCCGGAATCATGGGATATTCATTTTTTAATCTACGACATGTTTTCTGATTTAAAATATACAAGTGGATGAATGTACAAGAGATAATTAACTTTAACGATTATGGCGTTTGAATGTTTTCTTCTTACTGTGTGGTCTTGAGCCGTTATGAGTATTAACAATGTGTTTTATGAAGGAAAATAAGTTGCTTATTATTAATATCCTAATCTTATTTTTAACACTTCAACGCGGACTTTATTCTGAATTGTTCAGACAATACTTAATCTGTGACAATTTCCGTCTGTCAAGAATCTTACACATTTAGATATAACACAGGCAAAACAGGCATGAAATTTAAATAGACAAAGATCTATTGAAAAAGACTACAAAACATGACCCAAATAAGTTTTAAAATGATAAATATGCGTTTCTTTCGAGGTTACCGCCATCAGTACACGGGGAAATATCTAAAACTGGGCTCATTTATTGGCAGTGATTAGATGTGAAAATCTCAAAACAGTTGAAAAGATTTGGAGATCATCAAATCATCTATTTTAACCGACCCTAAGAAGGACTTTTTATGCTTATGTACGAACAATCATTCCCGGCGAGCAAAAAGGTCATCAGACGTTATTTATAATGAAGCAATAAAGTATTATCATTATTAAGGGGACAATACGATAAATAATTGAATAGAAGCTATGTTTTGTTAAACTGGTAAAATTATTGAGACGCCCCTCCTCCATCCAAGGGGCCTGTATACCTTTTTATCATGGATATCGTCACGATCCCCATGTAGGTACATGTGTACTGGTACTAAATAAATAATTATGTCAAGCTATTGATTCTTGTGCTTATTCAATAGAAGTCCGTGCTGTTGAGTCATGTTTTGATATAAATTCTATTATATACAAATTACACATATACTCAATTAATTTTCTTTTAATTAAAAAAAAAAGACTCGTGTAATTGAAGAATGGGTCATCAGTATTGATGTATACATTCAACATTAATGGTTTTCTTAATTTTATCCTCAATTTAAAAAGTTGAAATAACATACTTTCATGGTCACAAATGAAGATGTCAAAGTGCATTGCATTAATGAAAATATCGTATTAAACTTATAATTTTATTTTTTTTTCTTGTGAGAGGGTTTTTATCAATCATTTTTATTTCTATGAAAGTTAATATAAGTTTAACAAAATTGAAGGGATTGAAAAATTTCAAACTGTGCACGTAAAATCTTAATTAAAACAAAGTCTTAATGTGTTTTAAAGTGCAAGATAAAGGTTTAACAGTTTATATACCGAAATTTCAAGAAAAAGGTGGAAGGTTTCTTGTTAAAGATTTATATCTTAAAATCTGATGACAAATTATAAATAATTCTTTTAACATAATTGTTTACAACCTAGATAATAATCTGCACCTATTAACTTCTGTTCATTCCTTGTGGGGTGTGTAGGGTTTTTTTTTTTCTGTAAAGAAAACATTCCTAAGTTTATCTAAACCAAATACACATCACGCTTGTGTACGGTGTTTATGTCCAAAATTAATACCGTAAACATATACAGTGTAGTATGTATTTCGTACTTATGCTTCATTTCTTTTATAAAGAACCAGTGGCATAGAAATTGCTCTGTTGAAATATAAATAATTTGGAACCTTTTTCTTTTGTTGAAAAAAATCATTGGGTCAGATATATTGGAGTTCATGTCCTTTAACATTTAATGAAAACTTTAATTTGGATTTCGATTGACATATTTTTAATTAAATTTGAACCTTTAATATGCTTCCTTCATTGATTGATTTGAAGATGGGAAAAAACTAATTTCTTCCATAGTTACCTGATTTATACTTTGTTTTAAAAGGTGAGAATGGGTGCATTTGCACAGTTTATTTCAATATACATCACGGTGACTTAGATCTATAGTGTAAGAACATGCAATAATGGAAAACCAAAAAAGTATCCCTTATAATATCATTTTTTCTACATAATTTTGCCAAAAATAAAAAATGTCAACCCTGAAAAATTCTTGCTTTTTTACGACCTTATTGTTTTCTCGACTGATTGAGTAATTTGAACGTAAAAGCCATTCAAAAAGCTGAGTCCGGCCAACTGAAAGATGATTTGCAAAGGTGAATTCTCTTTTTCAATGTAACTATATCTGTATCAGCCCTAACTCTTTTACAGAATTGCATCCGAAATGTCATATCTAACATTCATTATTCTGCATACTTTCAACAAGCATTACACTGGACGTACGGTGTGTTATTAGGCAGAAGGGTATTCTTAGAAAGGGAGATCTTTATAACCTTGTAGAAATTATGAAAAAAAAAATGCAGATTAATTAGCCCTATTTCTCTCTGACTAAGTGTACTGCGAATTGCTACTCTACCGATAGAGGTTGAAATGTCACCTGCGGAGACATGGAAAGAACTGTTAAGTGGTTCGGTGCAATTATCCAGTAATTTCGGCAGAATTACATTGTTAGGTAGTGGCCCTTATAAATGTGACGCTATGAGAACATGTATATCATTTTGTTTCGTGTGTTTTCAGTTTGTCATCACTGAATAAAATCTCATCGAATGGCAGTACACACCTAGAGGGATGGACTTTAAATGTTATAACTTGTTTTAGATTCATATTGACAGGTCCTGCCCACATGAATGAATACCGCAAAAATTTAAAATTCCAGTAACAAATCAAACATTTCAATTCTTTATTCACAAGAATCTATACATTAATGGAAAGGTAATAAGTTTATATGGCTTGAATTACCTTCAAGTACAAATTTACATCGTTTTTAGAATTATTAAGTAGATTGAATATTTCAGGCACACTGTTATATATAGATGAATTTGAGGTTTATTCCTTAGTGGTGCAAGTTCCGTTGCAGACTTGTCGGTGATCCCACATCATAATTCCTAAGATATTTATAATATTTCTTCGAAACAATGATTTATTTTTGAAATATATATTCATTTTCCTGAGAAAATGACCACAGTTTTTGGTACACTGTACAGAAAAAGGGATAGCTGTCCAAAAGACCATCTGTATACTAAATCTAATAGAATATGCAATTTCCATATTCCTTGCTTTTTGCAATTCATGTTTGTTTTTAAAACAGCAAAATATGTTTTTTTAATCTTCAGTAAGTATAGGATATTGCAATCCATTAATGCCAAAAAAGTAAGCAGAAAAATAAAGATGTCTATACATGGGTTGTAGACATCTGTTCAACAAATGTATTAATTAAGAAATTAAATCGATTAAATCTTTCGCTGCATCTTGCATGACTATATCATTTCAACAGCTGTTTAAAGTAAAGAATTGAACTGAAAGATATTGTTAATTACGTCGGGTGTGATTCCCCTTTGTTGTCGCATCCTCTGAATAATGCATACTATCTGCTGTACCCAGACGCTATTGAATATGTCCACTCGTTATGTTTGATAAATTCAGGAACACCTTTACATAGAAGGATCAATAGTGAGGCATTTATGGCGATTTTACCGCTGAATATCTCAATATTCTCATGAATGCAAATCCCGGAATTAAGGTACAGAATATTATCATTGTAAGGGTCAGCTAGGAATTGCTAGGTAGTCCTGATCCCTAGAGCCAGCTGGGCCTTAACAGCTTCTTATGCCTCATAAAATAGGGCGAAAATTCAAAGATCAATGCAATCGAACTAAAAAGTTTCCGGACATTTTTTTTTTATCATTTCAGAACATCAATAAGATAAAATAATCTTTGCTGCAAATTATAAAACACAAAAAAATCATACAGGCAAGCTTACCTCAATTCAATGATAAAATTCCATTAGAATAAAAAATCAATTATAATTCCTTAATTTTTGTTTAAAAATGTGAAAATCTTTTTAAATCCGAAAAAAAAAACAATATTCCGTCACTTTTCACATTTGTCTTTGAGACACATAAGATTCCGGAAAAAATTAAAAGTGAAACACTAGCAAAGAGTGACAGATCTTCTGGAAATTAAAGTACGGTACAGGTTTGATCAAAGAAGTCCAGCAGTTCTTAAAAAATGTTGTAAGAGGACAGCGGGGCCCTTTAGGGGGCACTCAGTAATTAGTTACGAGGCTTAATAAGTAGCAGTTTGAATTATTTATGTTCAGGAATTCTGAAGACCCGTTATTGTTAAACAACTTATGAAGACTGGATTGTCACCTTTAATATTATTGATCCCCTTCTCATTGGTATTTCATTTGTGGGTCTGGGGTTAACATACATTTTCCAATATCCTGTTTGATTCAATGGGTGAAAGTTCATTTCCATTCATAACTATGACCCGTGTTAAATAAATGGACATTTTAAAAAAAAAAAAAAAAAATTCTTATTTAATACTTATGGAATTTAAAGTAAGAAACTTTAATTTATGGTGCCATTGAGGCATAATACTACTTACATTTGAATTACAAAACGAAAAAAGTAAATAGTGAACAATGCAATTTTTTCTCATAAAAGACACAAATAAATGGATAGAAAAGAATTTGATCTTAATTAAGTTAAATATATACAGATATTAAGAAATTGTTGCAAATATGGCCAATACAAATTCGCATTTTTTATATAATCGTGTATACATGCATTATCCCATTTTCTTTATCTTCAGTACGTTTGCAGTATTTCGAATATGAATAGAAATCCTTTTTTCGTCATTTGGAAATAGGATTTCTACACGGTTTAACAAAAAGTGACATTCGTCACTCAAATTTTCGTTTTTATAAAAGTTCGAATTCTTTTCTGTTCGATAAATCTCCCGAAAGAAATCTGTCAGATCTTATCAAAATTTACAGCTATAATGAAACTACATCACGATTAAAACTAAATAT